GAACTTTCCTAATGTCACAGAGCCTGCAGCTGGAACCACCAGGGCCAGACTCTGGGGACATGGAGTCTCCCCGTCAACCTGGGCATGTTGTTCTTTTCCTCCACATTATTCTGAGCAGAGAATGGAAGGAGTTGAAGGAGAGAATATCAGCTCTTCTTCTTTGGCTTCTTACAAACTCTCCCTCTGTATAAGGTTTTGTCTGTTTTATACACTAACAAGAGTATTCCACAAAAGTGGCCAAATGGGATTATGTCCAAATCAAGAAAATATAGTTAGAAAGGTATTATGTAAAATATAAAGTATGTAGCAAAGGTGAGCTTAATTGTTGGGGCCCCAAGGGGCATCTCAAAGACGATAGCCATTGTCCAGGCAGCTAAAGCCGAGGTCCAGAGAGAACCAGGTGACCAAAGATGCAGGGGGTCCTGGTGAGGACCCTAAGCTGGACATGAACATGGCGTGCAGGGAACATAAGCCCCTTTAAAAAAAAAAGTCACAAGCACAGATACTTGGAACTGCAAGTACGGGTTTGCTGCTTCTCGCGAGGGCAACTCTATGCAGGGTGCTCTGGGGTGAGACGGAGCTGGGATTTAATTCTTTCACTATGCTGATGGCTCACTAGAGTAGGGCTGAGTGGGCCAGATGGTGCTGAAATTCACAAATAACCCTACAAAATGTGGGAGTGAAACATTTAGAAGCTGGGGCACTCCTGGGAACGCATTGATACCAAGATTAGCCAATCCTTTTTCCATCTGAATGTGAGGGATGAGGCACCCCTCTTGTTCAGGGGTCAGGGGAGGGGACAGAGGACCCCTGCAGAGCCTGCCACAGCCCTGAAACACAGTCTATAAGTCCTGCCTCAATCAAGAGCTTTACTCACCTCTTACTTGTTAAGCAGGGACAGCCATCAAAAGGACTTTAATAACAGAAGAGTAATTAGGAGCTGCCACCAGGCAGAGGCTGCTTTTTCTGGCTGTCCTGTGCAGCAGCCCACACAGCCTCCACTTTGGGGCTGGTCAGTGAGTGGATGCTATTGGCTGATTGATGACTATTGATAAATAGACTCAGAGGGAGTTGAGCTTGGCTCTCACCTGCAAGACTGCCCCACCTCCTCCCTCCCCTTGTCTAGGGTCTTACCCTCATTGACGAAGAGTTGCCAGGCCTGGATGGGCCAGCCTTCCTGTAGCTGACCATCCGAGTGGGCTCCACACAGGTAGCGCCCTTCATCCTCCTTCCTCAGGCCCGTGATCACCACACTGAATGAGCCATCCTTGTCCTGGGGGTTGAGCAGGATCCTGCCCTCAAAGGCTGAGTCCCTCTTCCCCAGTGTGTTGATGACCACGTCACAGGTTTCCCTACTGTTCACTCGGCACAGAAATTTGGCCACATTTGCCACCTCAAGGCCCAGGGCACAGTGGAAGGTCACTGAGCCCCTCAGGTCTTCATAAACCAGTTCGGGCTCGGGCTCTAGCACTTGGAGGTCAGCATTCTTCTCATCATGATTGGAACCATCCCCGGCCTGGCAGAGATACAGTCCATGATCGCTGAGCCTGAGTCGGTCGATGACAACGGTGAAAATTAACTGGCCAGTACCTGGAATACGAAGGCGTATTCTGTCCTTATAGTTGGGATTCACATAATTTCTGGAGTCAATGACCAGCACAGAGGTCTGGCCTATCTTCTTGTACAAGGCCTTCGTCTTCGGAGCATTCTCAGTCTTGAAAGGGCATTTGATGGTCACCGTTCTGCCCACGTCCACTGTGTAGACTTCAGTGTCATTTGGGAGCTCAGGACCTGCAGGATGAGGGGTGCAGGGTAGGGGGCGGGCAAACTGTGATTCTACTTTCTTGCAACATAGGACTATTTGCTATTCCTAATTAGGGTGTGGGTGGACTTATAACCTGGAATGCCCTCCTTCCCAGAGGAACTCTGTCAGAATATGTCTTCCAAGGCCCAGCTTGACGGCCGTCTCCTCCATGAAACCTTCCCCAAGCTGACACTAATCTCTCCCTGCCCTATGCTTTCTTGATACATCTGCATCGCTTATTACATCCAATCTGGTGTATGGTTAATTATGTTCTCCATGGACTGGAAGTACCTTGAAGGCAGGAGCATGTTTTTCTCATGTTTGACCCCTCTGCTGTGACAAGCACAATGCCTCTGCATAGTAGGTGGCCAAATTAATGTGTGTTGAAATGAACAGAATGAATGTAAACGCAGGGTGATGGATTTCAATGCATACAATAGAAGTTTCTAAGAACTACAACAGTGTAAATGTGAAATGGGCTGTCTTGAGGAGCAGTGAGTTTCTGCTAAAGTGCTTAATCAGAGGCTGCATACCCACCATTGGCAAGTTCTTCTAAGCATCTGGACAGGGTAAACTCTAAGCCCTCTTCACCTCTTAAGATTCTGCGGTTTCGAATCTCCATCCCCACCTGAATGACCTCCTCATTTAGTCCACAGACAATAGTATGCATATTCCAAAGGAGCAGAACATGTCTTTGGGAGTCCCCCTGAATTTCTTTCCTCTGTAAGACCTCCCTTTTGAGTTGTCCTTGACTATCTAAAATGGCCTCATTGTTAAACCCTTGTCAGAAAGAGCTTTTCTTTTTTTCTCTTTCTCCAACTAGAATAGGCTTGTTAGCAACCCATCCTTTCAGGATCTTGGTCTTTGGTCAAGAACTAATAATCTAGTTTATCCTGATAATACTGAAAGACTAAGGGTTCCTGGGTTAAAAAAATATATATACATTTTATAAGAAGCCTTTTGGCAGCCCAAACCTTGATGGAAAGGTGCATTAATGATAGGAATTTAAAGATCCCTGTAAATCTCTCCCTGCCTTTTCTATCTCCTTAGCCTGATGTCAGATTTCCCTTTTTACCTGTAGCAAACATGAGAAAACTTGTCCTCCTGATACCCTTCTAAGTTGGGGTCTCCAGAAAGCCTAAAATGTTATAGGCCACCAAGTCCTAGAAGGGTTCACTTATCACCCCCAATAGGCCCTATCTGTCTCCTCCTCCTGTTCTAAGAAGTCTTTGCCTGGGGAGAGGGGAGCCTTCTGACCCCCGGCCGGGCTACGCATCCTTGTCAGGAAGTTCCTCCTCCAGCCCTCCATGCACCTTAGAGAATTCCCTCTAACATTCCCCCAGAAACCCAAGGAGCCTGGATCCTTACCCTGGCTGACCTCCAGGCTGACATCAAAGGACAGGCCTCGGCTGTTGATGCCCAGGCCACACTTGTAGTGCCCGGAGTCATCCCGGCTCAGCTGGGCAATGTTCACCACAAATGTGCCGTTCTCCGGGAAGTTGGTCAGGTTAGCCCTGCCTGCATAGTTGCTGGAGACGTAGCCCTCTGAGGAGACGAGGGTTATGCAGCGGCCACTGGCTCCCTTCCGGCACCAGTACTTCCGGGTGTGCCGGTTGACAGAGGTGGGTGGGTAGTAGCACTTGATGGACACTGAGTTACCTTCCACACTACTCACCTCCTGGGGACCAAATATGGGACTCTTCGTGGAGATGGCTGTGGGTACAGAAGAGAGAGGTTTTCTGAGGCCCTTGGGAGGTACAGCCTGTTCCAGATAATCCACTATGAGGAGATGTGGTTTTCTACCTGACACATAGGCCCTCTGTTGATAATTTATCATATATTACAGCTGGAAAATTGCTGAGATTAAATAAAGTGACTGTTTTAATCATGATTAAATTCTAATTGTAATTCATTAATGATAACCATTTCAAGGACAAGAGAATGACAAATTTATGATATTCCTTGTTTTTTATTTTATATATATATATTTTTTGAGACAAAGTCTCACTCTGTCGCCCAAGCTGGTGTGCAGTGGCACGATCTCGGCTCAGTGCAACCTCCACTTCCCAGGTTCAAGTGATTCTCATGCCTCAGCCTCCTGAGTAGCTGGGACTACAGAGACATGCTGGCAAATTTTGATTTCTATTTAGTAGAGACAAGGTTTCTCCATGTTGGCCAGGCTGGTCTTGAACTACTGACCTCAAGCAGTCCACCTGCTTGAGTTCAGCCTGCCAAAGTGCTGGCATTACAGCGGTGAGCCAGCATTCAGCCATCCTTTGTTTTTTCAAACAATAACACCACTTTCGTAAGGAGTTACAAGTTTGCACTTGCCATGTGTTATTTCCTTATATTTCTAAAAACACTTTGTAGATGATTTTCTTGTCTTTTGTTTCCCCAGATAAAAATATTGAGAGCCAGGAAGGATAAGTGATTTCCCTCAGATTTCACAGCGGGTTATAGAGATGCTTGGTTGAAGTTAAGGTCTTTGTTATTCTCAAATAAGATCTTTCACAGACCCCTGGCCTTGAGATTAGGAAGTGCCATTCCTGTCCCTGATTTCCAACGCTCACAGACATGGTCTCTGTAAGACTCTTCCTCAAGGGAGTGCCAACTTTGAGAGGGACATCCCTGGGGATGAGTCTGATTTTAGTGTCCCCAGGGAGGTGAACCCTGGAGTCGGGCAGGCTGGAGGGGTAGAGCTTGGGGAGTAGGGACCTGGCAGACATACCTGGGAAGACCGCCAGCAGGCAGGTGAGCACGAAGAGCAGCATTGCTGGTGTGTCCTGAGCACCGCACCACTCAGGCCGACTTCTCGTGTGTGATGCTGAAAACAATAATCACAAGGAGATGAAGCTCCCCTTGTCTTCCAAGACTGTTGACCTTAGAGTTTCTGTGACATCTGTTTGACTTTGTATCTCCAGCAATTGACATAAATCCTGTTGAATGAATCAGTGCCTCCACCTTTTCTATAACAACTCGAAGTCTTATCATCCTTCAACACTTACATTTCCTTAACAGCTATAAGTAGCTTTTGTCTTCTCAACTAAGCTGCAAGCTCCTTTGGGATAGAGATATTGTGTCATTTGTTCTGTTTCCCTGCCCATGAGACACAGTCCCGGGCATGCTGTAAGATCTCAGGAACGGCTTGCTGGGTGATTGGTTCCTACCAATACGTGGCCCCATCTTTCTGTTTCAGCTGCCCTCCCTACATTCCTGACATTCCTGGGAGGTGAAGCAGGCTGACATATTTCACGGTGTGTTCAGATGAGGAAACTGAGACCCACAGAGGAGGTGTCATGGTTATTAAGGCTGTAAATGTAATTATGATGGTCCTAACCCCATTGATTGCTCCCTTATTCTGTCTCAGGCACTGTGTTGAATAATTTATGTGTATTATCTCATATGGACTTAATATCAACCCTATAAGGTTAGTATTCTTATTCACATTCACATGGGAAGAAATGAAGGCTTAAAGGTTAAGTAGCTTGCTCAAGGGCACACAGGGGTTAAGTGTGTGGGTGTACACAGAATGGGGGTGGGGAATATTTAGGCCCATCTTTGTCTGACTGCAAAGTCCATGTGCTTAACCTCTCCACTGCTGTATGGCACCCCAAATACAAGAGCATGCTTTTACCTTATGCTTATCTGTGTTATTTGTAGAGACCCTGTTGCTTATGAAAGCTCTATCATTTACATTATTTCATTTGCGCTTTGTATGTTCCCTTGAAATAAGACAGAGAGGTATAATCACAACCATTTTATGGATAAAACATTGAGATCTTGAGATGTTGAATGATAGGCTTACGTTTTCCCAGCAACTTGGTTATGGAATTGGGGTTTAAAAACTTAGGTGGTAGGGTCTTTGTAATCCTGCCTGGTAAGACCTGGCAGACAAAGATGAAGAATCAAAGATAAGACCACTCAGATGGAGCAGCCCATGTGGACTTTGTCACCACCGTGGACAAAGCCCAGGGCTGAGGAGAGCTGAGGGTCCCAGGGGCCTGCCTGACAGCAGCTGTCATCAAGGCCCCAACTACAGTGTAGAGGAGGAGAGAGGAGTTCCCACTTTCCCAGAGTTTGACATACTTTAAACTTTGGAGTTATCTTGACAAAGAGAGTGTTAAATGATCGTAAGTTTGGGCAGTAATGAGTGCCATAAAGATAAGGATGCTGTAAGCAGGAGGAAGCTGGGCATTATCTCCCAGACCTCCCTCACCACCCTGGCCCCTGCTCCTGCTCCCAGACTCCCTTCAGCTTGAGCCAAAGGCAATAGAGTTGTTTATCTTGGTTATTTCTTTGTTGCAGGGGAATTTCCCAGCAAGGAACCTTTTATTTCCTTGTGAATATAAAGGTATTTTGTTTCTACAGTTCTTTGGAAGAGTAAGGGGAAGGAGTGGGAACAGATATGGGTGTCAGATGGCAACGTCGAGGCTCTCTTGAGTCCGGTTAATTGCCCCAGACCTTTCTTACCAGGTCAATGATTAATCTCTGGAGTGGGGCCTTAGCCAAATACCAGTCAGCTCCAACGTGAAAGCAATCAGGGGACGTTGGCTGGGGTGTCATCACCTGCGTAAGCACTGCAAGCTGCCATGGGAGATGCTCCCAGGTGGGAGCAGCTTTCAGGAGGCCAGGAAGTCTCGGCAACAGTTGGGATGGGCTGGCTGCAAAGACCTGAGAGATCTACCATTTGCTACTTGTGCTGGCACAGGGTGGGTGCTGGCATAGGTGGGAGGACAAAATGCTGCCTGCTTTTAAGAACCCACACCAGCAGCAGTTATCCTTGCTTCTTGTTCCTGTCCTCACCTCTAGATAAGCAACTGCCTAATATTTGTGGGAGACAGGAGCGGTCTTCCTACAAGCTGAGCAGCCCTCTTCTGGACTTGGCCTGGGTTGCAGAGAGTCAGATGCCAGCTTCTCCAAGGTGAAGACCCTGACCTCTGTCCCAGACTTCTCATTTTGTGACATGTTTGGGTGACTGTGCATGTTCGTGTGGAGAGGGGACATGTGCGTGCACCCATTACCCTCTGCATGGTCTCAAGCCAGGGATGAGAGCATCAGGCATGCACAGGCAGGTCAGGCAGATGGCAACATCGGCGGGATGCACACAGTCCAGTCCTAGACGGGATGATTGGCAGGAGAGGATACCCCTGCTCGGAACAGGAGCTCTTCTTTGCCCAAAGCTAAAACTTGAAGCACAATTTCTCTAGTAACAGTCGGAAGGATCCCAAACTTTCAGAATCATTAGAGACCCCTTCCTCTCAAAACCAGAGACTTTCTTCCAAACCTGGGGGATTCAAATCTCAGGGAGACCCACCCCACTGGGTGGCTGGGGCTGGATTTAAAGGATTTGCTTAAGGAAGGAAGAAAAAGAACATAATGTTGGGCACTCGCTATGTGCCAAATGCTTTGCTAGGTTCTTTTCTTGTATGACTTCATCCATCAGCACAACAACCCAAGAAGTAGATGTTGTTATCCTCATGACACAGGTCGGAAATCTAAGGGTTGTAGGGATTCTTGACCCCAAGACTCACAGCAGAATCCGAATTTGAGGTCACTACCCCCATTATCACACTTTAAATGAGCAGAGGGGCCTTCTTTATTGAGTTTTATGTATATGACATTATATCATGCATGAGGGCACGTTTTCTGGTCCTTAAACTAGCAGTTGTTTTTTCACTGCTGAGGCTAGGATGTGCTAGATCATTTTCAGTTTACTAAGTTAGTATCCCAACATATTTGTAATATATGGCCCCACAATTGTGGATTGGGGCAGGAGTGTAAGCTGTGCTGAAGAATAGTTTTTCTTTTTATAAAATGTATTTAACAAGCTCCTATTCAGTTAAAGTGACTGCACGTCTGCTCTCATGGTGTGGAGTCCAAACCTTTGTCCATCTAATCTCAGGTTTCCCTCTTTTTCAGAGGAAGAAAGGTCCCCTGGACTTGATATGAGAGTAGAAGTCTGCTTGCTGGGCATCGTTTGAAGATAGAGAGTGAGCTACTTAGGTTGGACCCATGTGGATAAGAGAGGAGACAAGCACTATGGGCTAGGCTAGAAGAACGTACACTGAGTCCTTTCCAGGTGCTTTACATGTGTTAATGTGTTTCATTTTTACAGCCACCCTAGGAGATAGGACAAAATGGGCAACCCCATTTCATGAGTGAGATAATTGAGGTACAGAGAGGTGAGATATTTGCCCAAGTTTGCACAGTTGGTAAGTGACTTAGATGGGATTCTGGATCAAGAGCATAGGCCCTTAGCCACTCTGCTCTACCTCTGAGGGTCTTGCTGTTGAGAGGAAGCAGTGGGAGAGGAAGGAGCAGGATATCCAATCTTAGAGAAGAGAATTTGTTCAGTTCTTTCCTCTCTGCCTTTCACAGAAAAGGCAGTGCTTATAAAGTGATACCTGGGGCCAGGCGTGGTGGCTCACGCCTGTAATCCCAGCACTTTGGGAGGCCGAGGTAGGTGGATCACGAGGTCAGGAGTTCAAGACCAGCCTGGCCAACACGGTAAAACCCTGTCTCTACTAAAAGTGTAAAAATTAGCTGGGTGTGGTGGCACGGGTCTGTAATCCCAGCTACTCGGGAGGCTGAGGCAGGAGAATCGCTTGAACCCAGGAGGTGGAGGCTGCAGTGAGCTGAGATCACGCCGCTGCATTCCAGCCTGGGTGACAGAGCAAGACTCCAAAAAATTAAAAAATGAAGAGACACCTGGACCCAGGGGTAGGTGCCAACAGAGAAATTTCTTCCTGGAAAATATTAGCTGCTATTTATTTAGCACCTGCCACGTGTAGGATATGTTACATAACCATGTGTATAACCAGGCATGTTGACGCCAAAGCCTCTTTCCACTCCACCATACCGTGTCAATGCCAGTGGCATTGCGACCCCAGCTCCAGCCCCTCCAGAGAAAGGGAAGACATAGACGAAGGTCTCTGCTGAGCACAGTGCATAGGTATTTTTTTTTTAAGTTGGATAGTTTGCTTTGTAGGTGACATCAAAATGTCCTCATGACCGTATCAAAATGGCTGTACCAAAACCTCACTGTTCAAACTTGCTGGTGACTTTACACCACTCGCATAGACTCATGCTATCTTGGTTTCCTCAACTAGGGAATGGTATCACAAAACCAGCCCTGCCTACCTCCTCGTTTGTATCCGGGGAGAACGAGATGAAGCTGTGAAAGCCCAGGGCAAGTGGGTTTACTAAATGGAAGCCTGTGTGACCCCACTTTTTATCACCTAAAGCCACAGAGGTCTAGAGGCGCTAGGAGATAGGCAGAGAGAGTTGCTTTCCTGACTCCTGGCTCAGTCAGTGTTCTTTCTGTTACATTAGCACATCCAGGGGCAGAGAGAAGGATGGAGAGAGAATTCCAGATCTGGCTCTGGGAAGACCTACATCCAGGCACCAGACCCCTAAACCCCTGAAAGTGGCATCTCCTCTCCAGATGTTAAGGGATCTATAATTCTCCTAGTGAAGGGGGAAAGTGATGGCACAAAATAGGAGCAGCTTCAATGGCCCCAGGCACCGTGGCAGTTGCATAAAGGGAACTGGGGGTCGGGGACAGAGCTTAACCAGCTGCTGCCCTTGTGCCGGACGGTCTCACTGCTGGCTTGGAATGCTGTCAGGATGGGCAAAGGGAGGGGAGCCCATGTCTGAGATCTGCTGGCTGCAGACCCAGGAGGAGCAGCAGGAGTTGAGTATGCTGCCTGTGGGGCTCAGCCCTACCTCACTTAGTGACCCCGTGAGGACCTCATTTTTTCTACCTCTAGGAAGGGCAGGATGATGCGATGACACACACTTATGTCTCCCATGGCAGGAATCTGCTAGAGCAAAGCGAGGTGGAATTGGAAAGGATTTCAGGGGTTCTTGGAAGCCCAGTAAAAGGAGCTGAACATGCCTTTGCCAGAAAGCCACAAGCGGGAAACCTCAAAGACTGGAAGAGGACTTGCTAGGTGCCATACTTTATGCGCATTATCTAATCCCAGGTCTGTCTGGTGTTCAATACATCCTTGATTAATTAAACTAATCTGAAAAATATGAAACAATTCCTATTTCATTCTAGAGATGACAAAGCTGTTTCACACGTATTTTCTCATTTGAACCCACATTGACCCTGAATGATAGGTGTTATTTCTGTCTTTGTTTTATAGATTAAGAAATTGAGGATCAGAGAGGTTAGGTGGCTTGCCTAAGGCCACACAGTTAATCAACTGTGAGGAGTTAGGAAATCCAGGTGCAGACCAAGCTGAAAGAGTGCAGCTACATATGCTGACCACAGCGGTCCCTTCCCACTTGCTGATATTTATCAGAAAAGGATGGGGGGCTTCCACACACTTGTATCCCTACTCATCCCACTGGGATATGCACGCTTACTTCCCAACCACACATAGTCACAGTCTGCCTCCTTGTCCTCACCCCACTATCTGGGAGACTGGAAGTTGGGAATGGAGGGGGTTGCCTGAGCCATCGTCCCGAGCCCTTTCCAGATAGCATCCCGTCTGGGGATCCCAGAGCAGTAACACTTACTTTTAGCCACTTCCTTCTCTCCCGTTGATCTGATTTCAGGGACACAGCCTGCTGGCCAGTTGGTAACCCCTGCCTCTCTAGGAGCTACTGGCAGGGCACTGGACGCTGCTGCCAAAACTGAAACTCTGCTCAGTGTTTGACCCACACCTGGGCTCTTAAAGGGCCACTCTCCCACAGGCACCGTGGCCAGCCAGGGTCATGTGACTTTCACAGATCCCTTGCTTTCCTTTCATTTTAGCTTCCCTGGCTGGCTCCATTTGGTTTCCTTTGACCTTGGGGAGACTCTATTACTTGGGAATCCTCCATCATTGCAGCTTCAGGATGAGGGACAGAATGTCAAGTGTGAAGATGCTGTTCTGTCACTTTCTAGCTGCAAGACCTTAGGCAAGTCACCTTCCTATTTCTTTTCATCTGGAAAAGAGGGATAGTAATTCCAAATCTACAGGTAGAGGGTATAGCCAGATATTAGCTGCAAAAAACCCGGCCCAGTACTTGATTTGAAGTTGACATCATCTGACAGGGCACAGGTGGCAGGAGTGGCTGTCGTAATCCTTGGTCTCATATCCCCAGTTGCTCGGGAACCCCCTCTGACTCCCTAGGTTACTTAGCCTGGACTAAAAATGCCCTTTACACACCTCCTGCCGAGCCCCTTTTACCAGTCCCAGAGCTCCAGGAACTGGCAGGACTGTCGCCCTTCCTGTTTCTCTCCCCGGAGTCATGAAAGACTCTCGCTGCTTCTGGGCTCCCCTGAACATGGCTGACCTCAGAGTCTTGTTAGGACCCGGGCTTGGCTCCACAGCAAGGAGGGTGCCGACCTGCTGAGTTGAAGTAGCACCTCCTTCCCTATCTCAGTCAGTCCATGGGGGTTGCCAAGACATGACCTGGTTGGGACTCCCAGGTGTTCCCCAAATGATCGTGGCAGTCCTGTGACAAAAGTGAAGCCCACTCCCCGACACACACACGTATGCCCCCCAACCCCTCACTGTAAACCCCCACTGAAATGCTGCCCCATCCTACCTGTGCAGGGCTGACCCAGGCTCTCACTACAGAGTCCTACAGGCCAAACGCCAGAAGGGGAAGGAAAAATAGAGAAATAGAGCGCTGGAGAAACACAAGGCAGCCAGAGCCCTGGGTCTTATTTTAGCTAACCACTGGCTCACTTGTGGGTATTAACACACAATCACAGATTTCAATGGCAAGCAAAACAACCCATAATTTCTTTATGTAGCTTAGTTTCTTTCTTTTTTTGTAGTTTGCACATTTGGATTTTCTTTTTTTATTTTAGGTTCCGGGATACGTGTGCAGCACGTGCAGGTTTGTTACACAGGTAAACGTGTGCCGTGGTGGTTTGCGGCACCCATCAACCCATCGCCTAGGTATTAAGCCCCACATGCATTAGCTATTAGTCTCGATGTTCTCCCTCCCCCGACCCCTACCACAAGCCCCGGTGTGTGATGTTTCCCTCCCTGTGTCCCTGTGTTCTCATTGTTCAGCTCCCACTTATGAGTGAGAACATGTGGTGTTTGGTTTTCTGTTCTGTGTTAGTTTGCTGAGGATGATGGCTTCCAGATGTGGCTTAATTTCAAACCCTAAACCCATAATCCGATAAAGGAAAACAAGTTACCTAGTCACTTCTAGGCAAGCTCAGCCCAATTCAATGATCTCTCAGTCACTTCACTCCAGATTTAAAATTTAGCCTCATTATGGAGTTCCCTTCCTTTTTGTCTCCCTTCTCTCCTCTGGGGTCCAGTCTGGGGAGAATGGTCTTGGGCGAGGGGGTGGTCAATGTTACTGCTGAGGCAGTGAAAGGGGGTGGCCCATTATTTTGGTCTTGCCTTGTCACGATGCTTTGCTGGCCTTGGGCTCCAGAAGGAAATAGTTTTGTCTACTGAGATGTGACTTGCCCTGCTTGGTCAGTGGGCTTTATCCCTGCTCATCCTGAGGGCTCTGTGGTCCACACTGTGCCCTCCTAGTGCATGCTCTGAGCTCTCTGGGGTGGGTCTTCCAGGCCCTCAGCCTCTCCTTGCTCTCCTTGTGGGTGCAGGGTGAGCTCGGCGGATCGCAGGCTCCTGAGGCCTTTGGAAGATCCTGTGCAGCAGAGGTGCATTTTCCTCAACACTCTTGTGGCCTCCCGCGTGCCAGTGTTCCAGTACAATGGGGGTGCAACGGATATCAGCAAGATTGTGGACCACCAAAGTTCTACACAGGATGGGCAAAGGTGAAGGCCCCTCAATCTGGAATTTCCAAGGCCACCTGGATAACTCTATCATTGTTAATCCCCTCTCCCCTACTGTAGCCTGGACTCTGCCCCATGGTGGTGTCTGGGAGGGCACCAAGACACATCAGTAACTAAGCTCTCCTTCTTACTCGTCAGCAGTCTTTCTCCTCCCCAGTTCTGGGGTTAATGTCTAGGGGAGGATGTGAGGGGAGACAAGATGTACAGGTCCAGCGATGAGACAAGCCTAGTTCTGTCAGATTATAACTCCCTTCAAAGGGTTCCCGGTTTATACCTCTCTCCATTTGAACTCAGTAGTCAAAATATTTGTAGGGTTTGTTTCTTCCTTCCCAAAGCAAGAAATAAGTTGCGTCCAGTTGTCCTGGCTGGAGTAAAAGTCAAGGCAGGTTCACAGAACACTAGTGTAGAAATTTGACAAGTGAAGGCTTGCAGGGAGGAAGGGGAGAACACTCATTAAATCATTGCTTCTCATGCTGCCTTGGTGGGCGTGGAGGGCAGGCTGCAGATTTCCTTCCCTGCTTTGCTATTTCATGACGGTGGGTAATTTACTAGATCATGTACTGCTACATGTTTTCATTAGTCTCCAAAACTGTCTTAGCTGACCCATGTCAGACACACACGTACACACACACACACACACACACACACACACACACGCCATACCTGGAGCCCACTGATCCTACTGATCCAGTTTACAGAAGGGGAAAATGAGAAGTAGAGCCCTGAGAAAAGGCAGGGAGTCAAAATCCTATGTCCTATTTTGGGCTCAGCCACACGCCGGTGGTGTGATTGGACTCACTCGCTTCCCCTCTCACACTGTGGTTTCCCCATCTGGAACCCAGTGGCCCTAAAATAGTGCTATTTCCCAGCTCTGTGGGAGAAGGAACAGGCCAAGAGAGTCTATTGCCCAAATCAATAATAATGATGATAACAGCAGTGATTATGCTTTCCAAACTTACAACACTTCATCTGCTCAACCCTCCCCACTTCTTTTAAAGTAATCATACAAGAAAATACACCAGCAGAAGGACAGCTTCTCATTGGACTTTCCTGACTCTGAGACTCAGCATAAGTCACTGTGGAACACCTTTGTTTTGTTCCCGATTCTGCCTCTAATTGCTGAGTGACCTTTGCCAGATCACTTCATCCTGTAGGTCTGCAGGATTGTTTGTTTCATCAGAGGACGGTGCCAAATGCTTCCCCAGGCTCTTTCAGTTCTAGGATTCTGTGTCTTGGTTTAGCACTGTATTAGTTTCCAACAGCTGCTGTAACAAATTAACACAACTGTAATGGCTTAAGACAACAGAAATGTGTGCTCTTTCTGTTCTGGAGACCAGAAGCCTGAAATCAAGGTGCCAGTAGGGCCACCCTCCAGGCTCCAGAGGATAATCCGTTGCTTGGCTCTTCTAGCTTCTGGTTGCGGCTGACATCCTTAGTGTTCTTTGGCACGTAGCTGCGTCACTCCAACCTCTGCCTTCATAGTCACATTGGCTTCTGTGTACATCTCAAATATCTCTCTGTTTCTCTGCTATATGGATAGCATTTAGGGCCCACCCAGCTAATCCAGGGTGATGTCCTCATCTCAAAATCCTAAACTTAATCACATCTTCAAAGACTCTTTCCCAAATGTTACATTTCTAGGCTCCACAGATTGAGACATAGACAAACCTTGGGGAGTGGGGGGTGGGGGTTATTTTTCAGCCTATTGACCATGACCAGCTCAAGGTCCAGGGAGATTTGAGACATGCAGGAGCGTGCACCCCTGTTCCCCAAGGGCAAGTAGTACAATTGAGGAGTCACCACTCACATGCAACACTGTCAAGGAACAACACAAGCCAGGAGGTAGCAAGCATGGAGAACCTGTGTAGCCTTGGGGAAACAGCAGGGGCTCTGGAACTCAACTGCCCTGGGTTTACATCCAAGTCTTACCACCTGCCAGCCAAGGGACCTTGAACAAATTATTTCATGTCTCTGGGGAAAATTATACATACTGTATAAGTATGTAATAAAGATTAAGTATAGGCCAGGCTCAGTGGTTCACACCTCTAGTCCCAGCACTTTGGGAGGCCAAGGTGGGAGGATCACTTGAGGTCAAGAGTTAGAGACTAGCCTGGGTCAGATAGCAAGACCTTATTTCTACAAAAACAAAAAAATTAGCCAGGTGTGGTGGCACTCCCCTGTGGTCCCAGCTACTTGGGAGGCTGAGGTGGAAGGATTGCTTGAACCCAGGAGTTGCAGTCTGAAATGAGCTATGATTGCACCATTGCACTCCAGCCTGGGTGACAGAGCAAGACCCTATCTCCCCAAAATACAAATCTAAAAAAAGATTAGCTATAATATGTTCAGTGACTAGCATCTAATAGGTGCTTATGATTCAGCATCAAATAAATGGGACAGCAAAAGGCAAGTGTGTGTGTGTGTGTGTGTGTGTACATGCATACATGTCTGACACCGTCTGCTAAGACAGTTTTGGAGACTACTGGGAGCATGTACCAGTACATGGTGGAGTAACTAGAGTGATTATCCACTGAATGATGAAAGACCAAGAACAGAAAAGTGAAAATGACTTGCCCCAGTTTGCACAGGAGGTCATTGCATAGATGGGTCTAGAACCAAGGTTTTCCAGAAAGCATTTTCCTTCACTTCCCAAAACTTTTGCTGTCAGGATGATATTTCTACAGACAGCAAGGGATGTCCATTTATACCCTTGGTTTAGCCAGAGAATAGTGGAGATGATCAAGCCCACAGGCTCACACAAATCCAACTCTTCAGACTGTCATTAGCTTCATGCTCCATGACCATGGGTTGACACAATCACCAACAGAGAAAGGGAGGCTAGATAGCCCTTCTTAACTCTCCACTGATCAGCGGGCATCCCTCTGCATGGATGGTTTCTCTGAGTGTGGCTTTTGCCATAAAAATGAGATAAGAGGAACAGAGGAAATGCTGTTTACTGCCAACTCTCTGCTCCTGTGTACAGATCTTCAGCTGAGTCAATGTTTAACCCCTGTCTGGAGTCAATGTTTAATCCCAGGCCAGCCAGCCCTGCAATCCAGCATTCCTCATCAAGCCTAAAATATCGAGTTATTTTAGAATCAACCACTGAAGAATAAAATTGTGACTGAATCTGCCAAAGCTAAACAGACTCTCCCCACTTTTAAAGGATACTGGCTGTTTGGAATTATTCATGCCATCTGTTCCCATTAGCAGATAGTGATATGGAGTTTGCTGACCCTAGCTGTCATTCAGTGGCATGAGCACAGGGTTTATTCTTCCTGTTTCAGTTCTTCCTTTTGGGCTGGGGGAGAAGAGCACTGGGTGGGGACCACTGCCCTTGTTACCCAGTTGGCAATGCTGCTGGCTGGTAACATGCTTCCTTGTGAGGCTGCTACTTGGAATCCCACTAGGGGAGCTGGAACTTGAATGTTCTGGTTGGCTGCATTTAGGCATGTTTTCTTGGAGTTTCTGAGCCCAGATTTATGTCTAAAGGCCTAAACCTTTCCCCAGGTGAGTCTCCCTGTTAAGGAGCAGGTGGGAGAGGGAAGAGTTCATTAGAAAGACCCTGACTATTGGTGATTCTCTAGGGGCTTCCTAGGGTCCTTCCTAAGGAGCTCAGGGCACATGGCATCTACAAATGGGCAGCATTATGTCAATGCTAAGAACAACCTTAGTCAGGGAAGTCAAAGGATGGCAAGCTGGGTGGTGGGGTGCAGGGACGTGAAGAGGGAAGGAAGGCTGCTGTCAGATTAGCAGCTCTAGTCTTCAGTTGGTGTTGGAGAGGTGACTCACTGGCCAAATGTATGCATGCAATGCTCAAATCTTTTCACTTTCCTCTGTGAACATACTGAAGCCCCTCCTTCTCCTTGACCACCTGCTTCCCTGTGTCACTGCCCTGATGTCCCATCCTTCACCTGTTTTCCTAGCTCAGGTGCCTCCCAGTCAGAGAGTGAAAACAACATTTCTTCTGGGGCTCCCAGCGTGGGGAGGTTGTTGGTGCCCTTTCTCGTTTTGGCTGGTGAAGGAGTGAAGGTGGAAACTGTGGTAAGAGCCCCCTGAGATTGCCTGTGTCCAGCCCTGAGGAGCCTGCCCTGGGGAGTGGAGAGTGAAGTGGAACATAAAAGGCCCTGGAGGCTGGGCGTGGTGGCCCGCACCTGTAATCCCAGCACTTCAGGGGGCCAAGGGAGGTGGATCACTTGAGGCCGGGAGTTAGAGACCAGCCTGGCCAACATGGTGAAAAATACTTTACTAAAAATACAAAAGTTAGCCAGCCATGCTGGCGTGCACCTGTAATCCCAGCTACTCAGGTGGCTGAGGTAGGAGGACTGCTCGAACCCTGGAGGTGGAGGTTGCAGTGAGCCAAGATTGTGCCACTGCACTCCAGCCTGGGTGAGGGAGCGAGAGTCTGTCTCAAAATTAAATAAATAAATAAAAATAATTAAAAAAAAAAAAAAGAAAAGAAAAAGGTGCTGGAAATGGAAAGTCAGCCATGGTCCAAAAGCTCTCTCAATTCTTCTTTGGGCCTAGTCCCTACACTCCAAAGAGCTTTGATTCTCTGTTTCTGAGAGGCAGGGACATATGAGCAAACATTTTTTGAGGTGACCGAACCATTGTCCTGTGCGCTCTTACCTCCACACCCTGGCTAGGGAGGAGCGGAAGGAGGAAGATTTTTGGAGTAGGCATCCAAAGTCAATAGGTGGAGTGTCAGGTGACAGGGCCCAGCCCCTCTCATAAGCCACTGGGGTCCTCCTGAAGACTTGGCTGTTTCCTTGTTCCTGGTCTGAGCCTGGCTCTCAGCCCGAGGCTTGCCTGGCAGGCAGCGATTGGAAAAATAGCCCCTGTAATCCCCTGCAGCCTGTGTTCATCTGAGCCTCAATGTCCTCGTCTGCAGAATGGGAGTCTGTTTCTTTTTGGTGATGTATATTGTAATTAATTTGTAGTTGTCTGTACTCCACTGCAGAGGTAGGGAAGGGAAGTGCTGGCCCCATAAAGTGTTTAGATCAGTTGCATTTACTAATCAGTCTGATCTTCCCATGCCAGGCCCTAAAGAAGCCAATGCTGAATTTTTTTTCTTGAACTCTTGTCTGAAATGAAACGCAGTATCTTCAGATAAATTAGAGCATTCTGAAAACACCTTTGGATACAATAGTCCTAACTTTCTTCCTCTTCTCTAAAGTACTCAAGGTTGGGAAGCCAGAAGTTTGCCACTCAGGGAAAGAAGTGGCCGCCTTTGTTTGACCCTCTATGCTCACAGCAGAACTGGTAGATCTGGATAGAGGTAGCAAATAAGTGAGGAGTGGGAATAAGGCCAGAGGTTGGCAGAGGCATAACATAGAAGAGTTCAGATCCTATTCAGCAAATGTGTGTCTTTTTGTTGTTGTTGTTTGTAGAGATGAGGTCTCACTATGTTGTCCAGGCTGGTTTCTAACTCCTGGCATCAAGTGATCCTCCTGCCTCGGGGTCCCACACTGCTGGGATTACAGGCATGAGCCACGGTGCCTGGCTTCAATCAATGTCTTTGATGCAATGCATCCAGGAGGCCTGCAGGCTGGGGGCATTGGCACCGGTGATCTCCACATGCCTCTAGAGGTGCAGCATGGGGTTCTCTCCTGAGGCTGCCGCTTCTCTGCTGCCCACATGGCTTTCATCTGGCCCATTAGAGAGTAGGCAGTAGGATGACAGCTCATCCTCCTGCTGACAGTGAAGGAAGCAGGCAGGCTCGGAAAGGCCAGCACGTGTAAACCAAGCTGCGTCACCGTAGGAAAAATGAAGAGCTTGGTGGCACTGGACCCTATGCAGAGTTTGTTTCTTTCTGAGTAGAATCTCCATTCTCCATTCCTCATTAGTCATGCTTTCAGCTCTGGGGTATCTGTAACAGGGGAGCACAATCAAATAACTTGTGTCTACTTGGCTGAAGTGCGCTATGGGTCTCTCTGTGGAGGTATCTTCCTCTAGGGTCTGACTGAGGCTGTTATTAAACTGACTTTTTTTGTGTCAGACCACAGTGGGCTACTGGAGGAGAGGAAGAAATCTCCAACATGTTAGCAGAGAGCTCTGAGAAGTTGGCTGAGAGTCAGGCATCTGCCCCAAGTAACCTGAGACAGATGGACATCCCCGCAAATAAAGATCTGAGCTCCTTTTATACATATGCCAACAAGGACCTCAGGGCTGGTGCCTGAATTTTTAGCTCTAGTTCCGGCTCTCTGAACTTTTTTTAGTGCCTCATTAGGCCGGGATTGTAATAAACTAGTTAGGTGACTAAAGAGAACCAATTCCTGGAAATGATTATGAAACCTTCCATGCACGAGCTTAAAAAAGAGAGAGAGAGGGAGAGAGAAAGAAATAAGCAAGCCTTTAGAGCTTTACGCAGGAAAGGACCTGACCAGATACTCAGACTATACATCCAAGCAAGGGGGAAGGCAGGGGACACCGCAGAGATTGAGAATGAAGCGCTGGAGATGGGCTGCTTTGCATGAAGTCCCAGTGTGCCCTTTCCCGAGTAGTGTAACTTAATTTATCTGGTCCTCAGTGTTCCCATCTGGGAAATGGGAATGATCACACCTCCCTTACAGAAATGTTGCCGTAACTGTGATACACAATGTGAAAACACCTAAGATAGTGCCTGCTGTGCAGAAACACATTAACAAGCAGTAGCAGCGTTAGTAAGTAACAGGTTAAGGAGAACTGCAGAATTGCTCCCTAACCTGAGAATCTGCTTGATCTTGTGAATATCAATGGCCTCCCTGCATCCTCGATTGGGGTCTAGGTTAGAAATCCCCAGGGAGGCTTCCCTGATTCTTGATGTTTGCCTGCCCCTCATCTCAGCGGTATAGGCGTCGTCGTGCTAGCCGGAGGTATAAGATAAAAAACAAAAGCACTGATAATACTCTCCTCTACCAGTTGGGCCTCTGGCCCTTTAAATCAACACTCCTGCCTACTCCGTGGATCAGTTAGCCCATAAAGGAGAGCTGTAAACACTTGGGGCTTCCCCGCTTCTTTCCCTGAAAGTTCTTACTCAGATCTTATCTCTGCCCCCTACAAACTCTTGGCCCTGGGAATCTAATCTGGCTCTGCTCTGGCCTTTTGAACTCCTACCAGCTCCACCACTGGTGGGGCTTGACTTTCCCTGTAACAGCCTCCCTGCTAGAAATGCTCCTGGCTCTAGCCACGTGGCCGACACTCTTGCTGGGCTGATGGTCTCCTCTTTCCCCTTCTTCCCCCAAGATGGGGTAGTCAGACAGAACATTCTAGCTGCTGAATTCCACAGTGGAAGTATTAGAGCCATTCGGAGGAAGGAGAGGTCCTAGAGAAAGGTGGTCAGGGAAGCCCTTGAGGAAGAATAGGATCTGATCTCCAGATCCCAGCAGGAACAAGAGAGTCCTGTGCAATTTCACGGCTTAGTGCAGGGATTGGCAGATTCTGGCTCAAGGGCCAAATCCAGCCTCCCTCCTGTTTTGGGAAATAAAGTTTTGTTGGAACACAGCTGCGGTCATTTGTTTCTGGATTGCCTGGTTGCTTTTGTGCTGCAATGGCAGAACTGAGTAGTTGCCACAGAGACTGTACGGCCTGCAAAGCCTAAAATATTTACCATGTGGCCCTTTACTGAAGAGATGGCCAACCCCTGGTTTAGTGCATCAGGCTTCCCCAAATAGTGATGTGAGGAACTCTAGCCCCATGAGACTGCTTCAATGAAACACAATAATCCAACACATCTGGGAAACACACATAATGTCCCCACCCCGAGGTGTGAAAACTCAAGGTGTTTCACAATACACCTTCATGTAGCAAAGGGTCCAAAAGATCCTGCATAGAAGAATGTTTGTGATTTCCCAGCATTTCCAAAACTTCATTAATCTACCAAACCTCCTTTTCCTCAGAACACCTTTTCACATCCTGAGAATCTAGCATTAGAAACAGTCTGGGTGCTGGGCCCATCCCTGCCACAAATGAGAACCAATTCCTGGAAATAATCATGAAACCTTCCATGCACGAGCCTAAGAGAGAGAGAGAAAGAAGCAAGCCTTTTGAGCTTTACACAGGAAAGGACCTGGCCAGATGCCTAGACCGTAAATCCAAGCAAGGGGCACAGCGATCCAGAACATAGCTGTGAAGGTGGGCTGCTCTGAGTGGCCTTGGCTGAAGTACACACTTTGCAGAGCCTGCTCCCTCATTGATTGAATGGGATCCATGATGTCTGTCCTATCTCTGTTACAGGATTTTTTGGGGCAGGTCATCGAGAAAGTGAACAGGAAAATAGTCTCGAGGGATGACTGTGGTATCCTTGATTTTTGACAATAAGTTTTGCTTTGGTACAATGCTCAGCAATGGTGAAGTGAAAAAGGCCCTGAACCACAGTCACGAGTTCTCTTTGCTAGTCCTCACGGTGCTATAACTAACTGGGTTAACTGGGTGACTTTAAACAAGCGCCCCCCACCTGTACTTAACCCTGCTGGGCCTCATGTCCCTCTCTTCTGGAATGAGGGCTTTAGACTAGTTAATCTCTAAAGATCTGTTAGCTTTGAAATTCTGTGATTCCATGTGGTTAGATGTGTGCAACTTCCCTACTTATCCAAAACAACAGGTTTCTCTTACAAGCCATGAAACCTGCATCTCCTTGATTTTCTTGGTACAATGTCCGTGTTCAGAACCAGATATGAAGAGGTATTACTGAAGGATTTCTGTGCTGCTGACAGCTTAGAAGGGAGGGCCAAGCCTTCTGGAAATGTCTACCTGGCAATTCTCAGCTTGATATTGGAGCCTATCTTTCCTTTCTGCCTCCACTGCTCAGGCTGTTCCATCCAACAATGGAGCCCAGACAGTTTGCCAGCGGATCTGGCAAAAGAAAAGAGTGGATGTGATTCCTGGAAAGGCAGTGGGGCCAAGGGTGGAGCGAAAGTTCCCTGATAGGCATGAGGTGATGTAGTTACAGGGCAGTATCCACATACAATTCCTCTCTTTTGTCTCCCACCTCACCCCCAAAAACCATCTTCCAGCTTCACCAATAGTCCTCCATATCGAGGATTTATAAGCAGCTGAACAAGAGGGGCTTTATGAAGAAGGCAAGAATCTACTGAAAATACCCTGCTCCTCCATGAATGTAGGAAAATCCCAGAAAATCTTGGCCAGGTCAAAAGGTCTATGTCACAATGAGCCTGGGTCCAAATGGGGGCGGGGATGATGTGAAGAATGGGTGTTTGCCCTTTTGGTCTCAGTGTAGAAACCAGCTGCCTGTGGGGTCATCTAAGGGACCCCAAAAAGGAGGGACAGATGCCCAGGGGGACCCAGAGCTCTTGCAGAGGCAGGGTGCCCAGGGGCCACTGAGCCCCCAAGTCAGTCAATCAGCCACAGGTATTTATTGGGGTCCTACTGAGTTGGAAGTTCTCTGGGGCACATCACGAGACAGATAAAACGCAATTACTGCCCTAAAGGAGCTTAGAATCTACTTGAGAAGGCAAGGTTGGTATACTTAAATACAATTAAATGTGAGTGGGAGGCTGAGTGCTAACAATAGTCAGAAAAGGGGCCCCCAGCAAGGGCTGGGAGTGATGATAGAGGATTTGTCACTTTCCACACTTATTGGAAGCCTCTTCTATTTTCAAACATTCAGGAATGGAAATTTCACGCTTTTCCTAGGTGACCTCTTCCAATGTTTCATACAACTTTCTTGAAGTCTCCTTTGAGTCATCTTGTAACCTTCGGACGTGGATAATGCTTGACTTTCTTGGGCCCAAGGACAGCCAGCCTTTCTTCCGTGGGTGGAGCCCCGGCTTCATCAGCTTCTCTTCCCACAGGTGAAGGAAGGATGATGGAAAGAGGCTGGGGTCCTGGAGGCCTTTGATCTTGGTCCTCCTCCCATGGTAACTGAGCAGTTCATCTTTCTGTCCCTCAGGGTCCTGGATTCCTCTCTGGGGCAGTCAGGCTGGCCTGAGCAGGAAGAGAGTCATCCTGGAGCATCTTTCTTTCCACATGGGGCAGCTGGTCTGGTTGGAGGTTCACTTCCAGAAAATGTGTCATCTGAATTAGGGTGACCCTTTCTGCCTCTTGAGCTGCAGAGACACAGAGCAGACTGTGAGGGTTCTGGGTAAGGACAGCACTGACTCTGATTTCCTAAGAACCACTCCCACCCACTGCAAGTTTTCAAGAACTTTCCGACACAGAAGCAATGGAGCCCTGGTTGGTTAGGTTAAGCCAGCCTAGCCCCTGATAGGGCTTGGACTTCGGGACCTGGGTCTGAGAACCTTAGCCTCCTCCACTTGCTGACAGAAAATCTCACCCTTTCTTCACTAGGTCTACATATCACAGAGCCGTCACTTTAAGACTACTTAAACCTGGGCACATTGCTCTCAGAGAATCTTAGCAGGGCCTTGCAGAAGGGGGAAAATACAAGGTTTGATCCCAGGTCTGGACCCTGCACTCCTGCTCTCTGCTGTGAGGGTTGCTTATGAGGCTTATGATTAACATAGGCATCACAGCCTTTGTAATCCTCCAGGAACTTCTCCTTATGCTCTGGGATGCCATTGATACCTAAGTACAGAGAAAATTTCTGATTTTATTGATTAAAAACCAAGGCAGTTTGGGCAGGGTGGCTCATGCTTATAATCCCAGCAATTTGGGAGGCTGAGGATCACTTGATGTCAGGAGTTCAACACCATTCTGGCCAATACGGTGACACCCCATCTCTACTAAAAATACAAAAATTAGCCAGGCATGATGGTACACGCCTGTAGTCCTAGCTACTTGGGAAGCTGAGGCAGGAGAATTGCTTGAATCTGGGAGAGAGAGGATGTAGTGAGCCAAGATTGCACCATTGCGCTCCAGCCTGGATGACAGAACAAGACTCTGTCAAAAAAAAAAAAGAAAAGAAAAGAAAGGAAGGAAGGAAGGAAGGAAAGAAAGAAAGAGAAAGAAGAAAGGAAGAAAGGAAGGAAGAAAAAGAAAGAAAGAAGAAAGAAAGAAAGAAAGAGAAAAAGAAAAAGAAAAAAAGAAGAAAGAAAGAAAAGAAACGAAGGCCAAGAGTGGTTAAATGTCTCAGGCTAGAATTTAGCTTTTCCACACTGAAAAGTCCTGGCAGGACTCTACCCCTGCCCAGCCCTGAGGGTGTCAGGTGGGAACCAGAACTCTTCTGTTTAGCCTTGGGACTACTGAACTCACAGATCCTCCTTCTCCGGAGCTTCCTTTGCAATAGAACCAGAGCCATAAGCATAAACAGGGCCAGCATGGTAGAGACAGGAGCCAGGGTCCGAGAGCTGCTTTCATCTTCTGGAAAAGCACTAGAGCGGGGATGGAAAGAGCACAGGAGAGAGGAGGTTGGAGCCGGCCAGAAGATTAAAGACCATTTGCCCACGTCCTCATTTTACAGGTGGGGGAGCTGAGGCCAAAGCAAGTGGGCGACCCTGGTTCCCATGGCAGGTTAGTGGCAGAGCTGGGACTAGAATCTCTGTCTTCAGGCTTCCAAGCCCAAATCCTTTTCCCTCTTCCATCCACCCGTGTGTGGGCCCTGCAATGCCTCCCAGTGAGAAAGAGGTGGTAGTCAGTGACTCCAGCCTCAGCAGTGGGCTCTGCCACAACCTTTCCTTGTGGCTTCAGTGCATCACCCACTCTCTCTGGAGTTTCTATTCTTCATCTTTAAAAACAGAAAATCCTAATGAAGGTTCCAGCCTAAATATTGTCTTTCTGTCATTTAGATATCACTTGAAAACCACATGGAAATACTCAGGGAGCGTTCTCACAGCAAGGCCCCTTGAGTGAGGGAGGGCATCTGATGTGTATGTCACTGTCTTGTGGGTACAAAGGGAGAGAAGTGAGCAGAGGGAGAGGGGCCTCCCTTGCATGCCGGGGATGAGACAGATGTGGGGCCCCCTGACTGGGAGAAGGTGCCTGGGGGTTACCTCTTCACAGAGGACTCCTTGCCAGGGGGCCTCCAGGGTCCTACTGCCGGGGCCTGGCTCAGCGTTGCTTGGGGACCTCTGTCTCCAGTGGCAGCATCTAGGTCCCCTGCAGCACTTCCTTCCCCAGATGCTGCCTCTATGCTGGTCCACACACCTGCAGCTGGAGTTCCCAAGGTCCACACACCTGCAGCTGGAGTTCCCAAGGTCCACAAGCCTACAGCTGGAGTGGTTTCTCCAACATAGCCCAGAGATTGTTGCTTAGAAACTGGCGTTGCTTGTGGGAGGATTTCCCAGGCCAGAGTTTCTGAGACCAGAGCTGGTGGCCTAATGGTTCCTAGGACATTTTTGGCCGCATCAAGAGTGATCCTGACCCGCTCTGTGTCCTCCTTTGGCCTATCAGCCTTGGTAGTTGTCATCTCCCTCCTGTCCTTGCTGGCTCTCGCCCCGTTTGTCACTGAGCTTCTGGTGCCCCCCCAAACACCTTCTGTTGTATTGGACATGCTTCTGCTTTTTGCAGCTGGACTCTCTGGAATGGGAGCTGGTACTTTGACGGAACCCTCCGCCCAGCTGCCTGTCCCTGGAGCTGCTAGCCTGGTTGCTCCTGGGGTTTGGCTTCCCTCAGCTGAAGCTGTGGTCATGCTGGTTCCTGGAGTTGAAGCAACTGTGTCCCATGCTGTCCCCTGTCCTGAGGTCTGGGTGGTTCCTGGGGTCCATCTATTGGCCACCGGAAATGCTGTTCCATAGGATCGCATGGTGAGCTCCCCAACAGCTGGAGTGGCTGTGGGGAGGGTGCTGGAGGGACCTGTGTGGACAGCAGAGGGAAGCCACATGGGAAGGCTGGCAGGCGGCCTACTGGTTTTGGCAAAGGACACCAGGTTTCACATGTCTGCTAAGTGGAATGCAACCTCACTAAGAGATGCAGTCTTTGACCAATAGGATGGATAAAATAAAAAATAGGAAAATTTTTCATTATCCATTATCTGTGGCAGGCATTCTCTAGTCTGTGGCAGACACTGACATGTTATATTCCTATTTCCTTTTCCCATGCCCACATATTTTCTATCCAGCTGTCTTGAACCCCCAAGCTGCTTTCTCCAGAGGCCCACCTTCCAGCAGGTATTGGTCTTCAAAGAAGACAAAAGAAACACTGCAGTTCTAGCAGAGCAGGCAGTTGCAGCAGGCGGCTGGAGAGCAGCATCTACTAGAATTAACCTGCTCTCAGGCTGCCTTCTGTCATGCTGTCTCCTCTGCCAAGTGGCCTTTCACAGCCTGGATGCTCTTCCTGTGCTCTGGGTGCCTGACTTGGGATCAACAACCAGAACCTGCCACAGAGGGCCTAGGCCTGGGATCTGTCAGATGCCTGCTGAGGGGCTCAGCAAGAGTCTGCATGAGGGACAGCTCAGTTGCAATTCTTTCGTCCTGCCTGTCACACCTCCTCTGCAGTCCTGCCGCTTCTCTGCATGTCTGAACATGTAGCTCTCAGGATCCTAAGAAGCCACATTATCCCATTCTTGGAGCCATCTCCAAATATATATTTCATGACATTTGGGGGACTCGGGTGGGAGAGTGTACATGCATTCACTGGGGGAAGTTTTTCCTAAAATCTCCCTTTCTTTTGAAGGTAGCCTTCTTCTGAAATGAAAGCCTACTTCTTAAAGTCTTTGCCTTGCCCCAGCTTTTCATTGTCACTTCCCTAATGTTTCAAGCCCTTCTAGGTCTCTGAGCCTTCTCTCGCACTTCCTCCTTCCTAGAACGTGCTTCACCAAGCTTGACCCATCAGCCATCAGCTCGTACCTGCAGAGATGGTCAGATTCATGCTTAAGAACAGCATGGCATTTTCACTTCCAATGCCGCAGAGGTAGCATCCGATGTCATCCGGGGACAGTTGGGACAGCCTCACCACAAATAGGCCTCTCTGTGGAAAGTCTGTGAGGGCCACACGGTCACGATAGTGATGGTGAGTGTAGTGGCTGGTGTACACAATGGTCTGGCAGATCCATCTTGGGGGCCCCAGACGGCACCAGTACTTCCTTTGGTGCCTGTTGACAGATGAGGGGGCATAATGGCAGCGGATGGTGACAGCTCCTCCAGGCTCCCCAGACACCAGCCTTGAGCCCTTCAATGCATTTGGAGCTGTAGAAAGAGAAGGAAGTCAAAGGAGAGGGAGTGGTGAGCATAGTCACTGTTTGGGGAGTCACGAGCTCTGAACTCTGCCAGAATTAGAGGTCAGGTCAGAAAATGCCACTGTGAACATGGCGCAGAATCAATATAGAAATGGCAGAACTCAGCCATTGGGAAAGCCGATGTTGCCCTGAGGTATGGAAGATGAAAATGTCATCATAATCTTACCCACTATTTAGCTAACACTTATCCTGTGCTATCCTGGTCCATCCAGAGCATGGTTCCCCTGTGCTCCAATGCAGATGTTTAAAATGATGCTATCTAAGCACATGAATGAGGGCTGAGGCAACATCTGACACTCACTCACTCAGTCACTCCTCACTGTAGGTTTAGACAACACCGTCCAAATGATGCCACCGACGATAACATTACATGATAATTTATCATTAAAATACAAAAATATTCACAATTATAAACAAGGACCCTTTCAGGACACCAGTGATGATTCCCTGATAGAAGGACTCTGGTTTGCATGGAATGTAAAAGAGAGATGCTAAACAGTAAGAATACATCAGTGTATCTTTCATGTGCAAAAGATGAGGAGCCCTGAAACACGAGAATCCCGTTCTGCTTGCTGGGTACCTGTCTGGACCAGTGGTTGCAAAATTCTTCACACTAGTCACTTTTCCATAGAAACAGAAACAACCAAATGCCACCATATAAGCACAGATGAGCAGTACTGTGAATATGTCTGCTTGGCAACAGGCATAAGGGCAATTCTTAGTTGAACCACATATATGGCCAGCTTCCTGGATGACTTAAATGTGATGGGGTGCAAGTAGAAACAAAGTTTATTCTTTCTCTCACTGCCTCTTCATACCTTCTCCATGGACATCTCTGACCCTTGATGAAATCTCAGGCACAATCTCATGTATAGTAGCTTTCATAATCTCTCCTGGATAATAAAAAGCCCCGCTTAGTCTAAACTTATACATCCAGTCCAGTCCAATGAAAGATTACAACTCCAATCTCTTGCCCAGTCAAAACCTTTTCCTTTCTCCGAGCTGGGCTTGGAGTCTGTCATGGAGGAGGGGGGCATGGTTGGGGTCTCTTGCTTTGCTCTACCCCTTCCCCTATTCAAAACTTCTGTTTGGGGGTCCCTGCAGGGTTGGGTAGAGTGGGGAGAGGAGAGGTGAATGAGACAGTTGTGATCTGCCCTTGGTGCTTTCTGGGCATGGCAGATGACCAAGGTTGCCTCTTTTTTGCCTACCAGATATATTTTTAACATATATGGCTGTTGTTCTCTCCTTATGAGAACTGCATGTTTTTCTGCTGGCCTTTGGTGGCCACCACCCACAAGCCTATGACTTCTGGCTATCTGCCCTGCTCTGTGGTCATAGTCCCCTCTGGGTGGCCCTCTAGGTGGAGGCCCTGCATTTAACACAGGAAGCACACCTGTGTCCTGTGGTCAGAAGAAATCTGGGACAAAGGGCAAGCTTGTTGAGTGACTTTCTGGAAGTTCCTTCTCTTACTTGGCTTAAAGTGAGGAAAAAGTGATGTCTCCTGTCCCCTGGGACAAGTGGAGGGGACCACAACACAGGGACATCTCTCTGACACAGTGAGCTAGCTCTGCAGCCGCCGATGATTCTCTCCCTCCTTCATTTGGCCTGGACAGATTCCCACGGGGCTGTTGCTGGGACCAGCTCTATGGTGTCTTTCTACAGCCCTGGACATGTGGTTCAGCATCTTGCGGTAGGATGTGGATGCCTGGCACCTATCAGTTTGTTCTGTCTTTAGGACCTCTAAACCCCAGAAAGTGCAGTTTAATATCCTTGATTTGGTTTGGATGTTTGTCCCCTCCAAATCTCATGCTGAAATGTGTTTCCCAATGTTGAGGGTGGGGCCTGGTGGGAGGTGATTGAGTCGTGGGGGCATCCATCATGAATGGTTTAGCACCATCCCCTTGGTGCTAAATGAGTTATTTCTCAGTTCACATGAGATCTGGGGCCTCCCCTCACCCTTTCTCTTGCTCCCTCTCTTGCTATGTGCTGTGCTGCTCCTGTTTTGCCTCCCCCATGAGCAAACGCTCCCTAAAGCCTCACCGGAAGCCAAGCAGGTACCGGCACCATGCTTCCTGTACAGCCTGCAGAACCATGAGCAAAAGTATGCTTCTTTTCTGTATAAATTACCCAGTGTCAGGTATTTCTTTATAGCACTGTAAAAATGGCCTAATATAATCCTATTACCAGGAACGGTTAAGCAGTTTGTGGGTGCCAGAGCAAAATGAAAATGCAGGACTTCTTGTTCAAAAGTTATTAGGAATTTCAACATGGCAACAGCAGAGCATTAAGCCAAGTACCTTCTGAGTATGGGGTCCTGTGTGAATGCACAAGCCCGGGAAACCTACCCTGCCTATTACGTGTGTACTCAGGTCTAATTACTGGAAGAGTAGAGGTCATAAATGTTATGGCTGTACTGATACTCACTGTAAGTTTAATTAAACAACACAACCCAAACCATGCCACTAATGGGAAAGTTAAATTACCATTTAAATTTACCGAGTTGTGAATATTTGCAATATTCACAATGACAAACAAGGACCATTTCAGGACAACAGTGATGATGCCCTGATAAAGTGTGCATACCCCGGATTTCAGGGATTCTCCTGATCTGCATGTGGCACATTTGAGAGGAGCATGGTTCCATTAATCAGCAGGACGGGGTGGTCTGACTTTACAGTAGAAAGCTGATTAAGAACCCTTAATCGACCCTTGCAATGCACATAATTTTTTATTAATACCAAAGTTAAGAACCAATACCTTAAGGATTTATTTGATAGATCACTGATCAGTAGCTCTTTGTTATAAATAACAATTAAGGTTTGGGAAATTTTATATTAACTACCGTAAGAATTCAAGACCAGGCCAGCATTTTAGGGTCAATGTGTACCCACCTGGGGGCCCTGATGCCAATTCTCTGCTCATCCGTGGAGGTGGGTGCCCTGGCTCTCATCTCATCATTGTTACTCAGCAATTGTCTATTGCTATGGCTTCCATTAGGAGAGGCTAGGGCTGCCTATAGCTGTAGGGAGCCTGACTTGGTCTGAGAGAGCCTGAGAGGTCTGAGGTCCATGGTTGAACAAAGGGAGGGTAGAGGTTGTACCTGCAAAGGAGCTCTCCTCCCTCCAGCAGAGGGGCGACGAAGGCCTGAGTGTTCCCATGGTCCGGAGATGGGTCCTGGAGGGGAGAGAGCCCTCCCACAGCCATCTCGGATGGGGTCTTTCTTGTGGAAGGGCGAAAGAAGAACCTGCAGCAAAGGAAGGAGGTGGGTCATCAGGGAGCCATTCATGTGTCCAGAAAGGCACCCACAGAGGAAGAAGCAAACAGCCAGCTCCAAACCCCTGCCAGGCCACATAGCTCCAGGCCATCCATCAAGTAAGAGCTGCCTGCCCTCCTGCAGCTTCTCCCTCCCACTGCTACCACCTTGCTGGGGTCTCAGGCAGCAACTGCCTAGAGGGGTGCTGCTAGGCAGCTGCGAAGGGGGTAGGGAAGTGGGAAGGCAGCAACCACACCCCCTTCCTGGACTGCAGGCCTTGTGGGGATGAGGGAGTATACCTTTAAATGAAGATTAAAGTGCTGACCAAAGCATTTAACTGGAAACTTTAAATGATCAAATTTAGAACGTTTGAGACTTAAAGCAATTAATTTAGGACTGTTACTTAGCAGAAAAATCATGGGCCTGCCTGAGTTGTCATTTGGGGGCAGGGGAAGCCTGCTGTTACTGAAAATTTTAAAAGGGACAGCAGGAGGTTAAAAAGGTGGCGTGATTTTATCACACAGAGTGCTTACTCAAATATTGGCTGCTTTTTTTTGTTTTTATTTTTCTTTTGAGATGGAGTCTCGCTCTGTTGCCCAGGCTGGAGTACTGTGGCGCAATCTCAGCTCACTGCAACCTCTGCCTCCCGGATTCAAGCGATTCTTCTGCCTCAGCCTCCCAAGTAGCTGGGACTACAGGTGCGTGCCACCACGCCCAGCTAATTTTTGTATTTTTAGTAGAGACAGGATTTCACCATGTTGGTCAGGCTGGTCTCGAACCCCTGACCTTGTGATCTGCCTGCCTTGGCCTGCCAAAGTGCTGGGAGTATAGGTGTGAGCCACTGCGCCCAGACTTACTGGCTACCTTTGATTCATTAAAACTCTGATTTGTTTTTAAGCCAGTTGTTAATCCTTTTTTTTTGGTATTATCATAGAATTTTCATTCATTCATTAATTTATTCAGTCATTACTTATTAAGCATCTATTTGGAACTAGATTCTAGGTATTGGGTACACTTGGCGCATACTCATTATATTCCTCAATGGTTCCTTATTACCATCAGAATAAAATCTACTACAGCGTGGAGATGGGGCCATTTGTCATCTAAGCATGGTTGATACCTGGACAGTTTTACCATACCAGCCTGTGAGGAACTTTAGGGCAGCCTGGAAGACTCAGGTCTGGTTTTGTAAGCCCTGAACCTGGGCTGGGTTTGGGACTCACCTTGTAGCAGGCACGGTATGAGGAAGAAAGGCATTTTCCATCCTGCCTTCCTGTTGGCAACCTGCAAAAAACACTGTAAATGAAAAGAGGCCTGAGAGAAGCTGGGTGAGGGCAGTGGGGACTTGAGAGAACAAACATCTTCTCGCTTTGGGATCTCGGTTTGCTCAGCGCAGGGGCTGGGTTGCAAATATCTGAGAGTAAGACAAGCACTTCCCTCCCTGAGAAAGCGTGACTTTATCCTTAGCCTCCTAAGCATGCACATTTTGGTCACGTCCATGAGGCTAAAATGTCCCTTACCCTTAAGGGTTCTGTGTTCAGAAGAGGTGAAACTCCCTCTGTAGGATTCTAGCCTGGGCACCCACTTGCCAGCCTGGAGCTCTGAGTTTGTGGGAGCACCGTGTAATGGAAAGGCCACATTTGAAGTCTAAACTCTAGTTGGAATTGTGGGACCTTGGAAAGTTAGTCTCAGGGATTCGATTCCTTTTCAGGGGAATGAAGGAATCTGCATGGGGTTGTTGTTTCACAGCTTAAGTGAGATTGTGGTAAAGTGCCAGCAATGAGCCTAGAGTAGTCCACTTCTGTTCCTCTCCTCGCCACTTCCTGTTCACAGAAGGGGAATTGGTTTTTTTCAAGGGAAGATTTCTGTTTCACTGTTAGTGTGCCTCTGGTCAGTAACAAGGAGTTAAAAATTAAATCTCAGACCAAGCAGCTCTCTGCACTGGGGTGCTATTCTGTTTCTTCTCCACAACTTCTAGAAAGCCCTCTCTGTCCCCCAATCCACACTGACCTTCACCCCTCTCTGGTCTCTCCCACTGGCCTGGGGAGCTTCCAGAGGGTAGAGCTTTGTGTTTCATCCCTCTCCCATCATGCTCTGAAAGGGGATCTAGCACATTGTAGATGTGAAATGCACAGCTATTGTGAACAGTAACCCTCTTCTTTTAATGGACACCCTACTGATCACTACTCAAAGGTCTTTCACCACTTGCTGATGAAAAAGACAGATTGTGGCTGGGTGCGGTGGCTCATGCCTGAAATCCCAGCGCTTTGGGAGGCCGAGGTGGGTGGCTCATGAGGTTAGGAGTTCAAGACCAGCCTGACCAACATGGTGAAACCTCGTCTTTACTAAAAATACAAAAGTTAGCCTGACGTGGTGGCACACGCCTGTAATCCCAGCTACTCAGGAGACTAAGGCAGTAGAATTACTTGAACCCAGAAGGTGGAGGTTGCAGTGAGCCCATGCAACTGCACTCCCACTTGGGTGACAGAGCAAGACTCTGTCTCAAAAAAAAAAAAAGACAGAGATTGTACGTTATACTTCTTTTGTATTCCCTAGAGGGTATTCATGGATGCTTTTTGATTGATTAAAAATCTGCTCTTTGAATCTATCTACTGCTTCTGTTTCTGGGACCTATAGATTTTTTAAAAAGCAAACTAAAGTTAGCCAGTGAGTTTTCTTCCTACTCTGTTATGTTCCTCACTACTGTTAAGGACAGGCGCTAACAGTCCATGGTTTGGCCCATGGGCAGAAACCCCCTCACTCCCCAAACAGTTTAAGCCATGCAAAGCCACTGGCCAGTTTGGGACACAGGCTGTGCAGGAGGGAATCACAAAGAGGAAAACAGGGAATAGGGGAAAAAAGGAGGCAAAGGAAGTAGGAGAATGGGGAGAGAAAAGGAGAGGTAGGAGGTGAAAGAAAGGAAAAGGGAAGAGAGGGGACAGAAGAGAAAAGTAGAGAGTCCATGGGGTGGCCCTGAGCTTGTTTTCCTGCAATGAGACTTGGCAAGTTGTCACCTCAGCTTGGCTCTGCCCAGCCCTCTCCACTGAGGCCTTTCCCTGCTCTATCCAGTTTGAGCCCCAAGGGTAGCCAGATCTTTAAAAGTCGATAGGCTCTTTATGCATGTTTCTGTGCCTTCCCTCTAGCAAGTCCCCTAGCTTGGGCACTGCAATGGCAGTCTCAGACCCTTCCCTGCCTTACAGAGCTTCCTGTCTCCACCCGGAGACTCTCCCAGGGTGTTCTTGCACCTAATTCATAATTTGATTAATATTCGCCAAGTCCTGGCTGATTCTGGGGCTGGCACCTAGACACCCGCTGGGCAAATTTTTCTAAAGCACTAAGTGCTGATGCAGCATGTGTTGGGGCCAAAGTCTCTGCATCACACCATCCAGTTCCTCTGAAGCCACCGGTGCAGCAATCTCTGGGCTTCAGGAAGAAAAGCCGGTTCCATGGGGCAATGAGGAAGCAGGAGTATAAGATAAAATGTTTCCAGGGAATTATCAGTTTTGATTGGAAGCTGGAAGGATAATATTCAACAGAATGTCTCCAAGTCACCCTCTCTGCCAATGACCTTCAGAAATCCTTTCTCCAGGAGACAGGGGGCCATAATTCAGTAGCCTGGGGCCACAGGCTTCTGTTACTGCACACTGCATTTTAGGGGATGAGACCACATGAGGGTACTCTCTTGTCCCTCTTGTCTTGCTGGGAAGGGCATGCACCTCACCTCAGCTTCAGCACAGGCTGCTGTGTGACTTCCCAGATGCCTACTGGCCCTCTGAGCCCCAGTTCATTCCTATCCCCTCCCCACATCCCCCGGGCAGCAGATAAGAAGGGAAGGAGTCAGTGTGGTATAGAGGAGAGAGCACAGAACCAGGACTCAGGAGGGGCTGCAGCAGCCTGAGGCTGCTGCAATAACTTGGCCAATGTTCTGTTCCTCTCCTCTATGAAAGAAGAGCTTTGCCCACATGTTCTCCATGTTTCTTCTCTTTGTAACGTTATTTTGGTTCTAAATTATCCAGGACTTCTAAGGAACCATGCACTCTGGTGGGTGTGAGCAGAATAATAGGGAACTGAGAGGGAGCCCTTATGTTCTGGACCCTAGAACCCTTAACTGGCCTCCTGGGAAGAAGCCCACCTGCTCTGGGAAGGGCACTGAGGAGCATGTGTGACAGCTATGACTGCAGTTCACCCCCCACATTCAGAGGCAAGATCCCAACCTCCAGGAGAAAGCCTCATTTCACCTTTTGTTCTCTGAGCTTCAGTGTGGCCTCCCCATCCATCTCAGTCCAGAAACAAGATCCACGTGGACTTTTCTTCTCATGAGATGCAGGTGTTTGGACGTCTTCTAGTTGCTCTTCTTTAAACCTGGAGACTGAGAAGTCAAGGTGGTATGTTGGAAAGCAGCTGGAGCTAGTAAAAGAAGGTTGGGGTGTAAGGCATAGCTCTGTCACTCACCTTAAGTCACTTCTTTTTGGATTTTATTATTTATAAGAGGAAGCCAGTCCTAATCCCTTGTCGTTCTTACTGTCACTTATTCCTGAAGAACTTTTCCAAGGGTGGTAACAGTAGCTTCAAGAAAGAAAACAGTGATCCATGTCCTTCCTCCTCTTGTGTCCCCTCCAGTCCAGGGTCTCAGACTATTTAGGGTGCCCCAGCTTACCAGCCCATTCAGGCATCTCCCAGACAAGTGATGCAACAACTTGGGCAGGAGGGCAGGGAAAATTCAAAATTCAAGAGAGGAATTCCCCTGCCAATTGGCTGGCAGCTGGTGCCCTTCAGCTGACCTGGCCCCTCCAACTCTCATAGAGAAGCACTTTGGGCAGCTTGGATCACTGACTTCAGAGCTGCATGAGCTAGTGGTTACTAATTCATGTTCTGGACAAAGCATAATACAGTAAATGAGACGATCTTCATGGAAAGAAGACACTGAGAAGTGTGGCTTACCCAAATAGATGACATACTTGAAAAATACCCCAATATTTCCATTTGGAAAATAGTTTATGGGGTTTTTTTCCTCGTAAAAGATGTGATCTTCCAATCTCTGTTGGTCTGAAACTGACATTAAAATGGCTTGTACAGCTGAAGCACTCAACAATGAATGGGCACAAGGGGATGGGGGTGCTGCAAGCTGTAATTTGGGACCTTCACTAGGACCCCTGATAGATATGATAATACGGCACCTCTGAGCCATTTAGAAAGGGCAACTCTTTCTTAAGAATAAATTCAGTTGGTATATTGTTGTGCAATTTGCCATAGCCATAGATGGCAGCATGTATTCTCCGTGCGATTCCCCTTCCAAATTTGAAGGCAGATTGGGGGTAGAAACTGAGTCACTGAAAGCAATAGCAGAGGAAGAGAAACAACTCTATGGGTGCTTGGAGTTTGGCCGTGACAGGACAATTGTGCACTTGTGTGTGCTGGTAACTGCATGCACAGCAGTCTATGCTGCTCTCCCAGGACTTGGTCAGCAGCTTCCAGTGCTACAGCTCCAGATCTTCACCTCCATCTATAGCCTCTCATATTAGTTAAAATACATCTACAATGTGAGTGGTCTCTCCTTAGTAATGGCGCTGTCGAGCAGCTCACGACCCGAAGAACTGTATACAGTGGACTTGCCTTCCGAGACTCGTTTCCAGAAATGAGTGACCTTCTTGTAGGTGGTAGAGAGGTAGCTAATGCCTGGCTAGGTTCTCCCCTTCCACTCCTCATGGAGCAGTATAGTGTCATGTTTGATCACATAGACTCTGGAGTCAGACTCCCCCCTCCTCTCAGTTAAGATCTCAGTTCTACTTTTTACTGGGAAAATGACATGGGAGGAGAAAATAGCACCTATCTCATAAAGTTATTATGTGGATCAAATGTGATAATCCATATAATTCAAAGTTCTTAGTATGCAGTTAATTTTCATTAAACATTAGCTGAGAATATTATTAGCTTGGCTTGTAGCAAAGCGAGCAGGTGTCTTATCATGATGGAACTCTCAAAAGAAAAAAAATTCCTTTGATGGTTTTCATCTATTCAAGGGTCCTCTCCCTCCCTCCTTCCCTTCCTTCCTTTATTCCTTTTCCTTTCCTTTATTTTCGCATTTGAAAGATTAAAAATTCACCAATTTGTCTAAGGACACTTCTGAATTAAATTTATATTCTTAAGTAAACGTTTGTCAAATTTTCACCATTTTGTAAATGTTGCTGCCATTTGCATCCTTAAGGGCATATTTTTCTGTTTTATCTACTTTCGAACACTTTAAAGACTTTTTGATTACAGAAACCAAAAATTATAGTAAAGTACAATTAATTGTAATGCACTGGTCCAGTTTCCAGAGCACTTTCTCAGAGCCATGATGTCCCTTCTCTGAAGCTTTATGGAGGAGAAAACTCCATACTGGCTGCTTCTCTTGGGGATACAATTGAATTTTCTTATGCAGTACAAAGCCCCAGGGGTTCCTTTACATAGATATATGACACTATAACCTTCTGATTTTAGGCCCTAGACTCTGGAATTAGGCTTGACCAGATGTCAGATCTGGGAAGAGCTTTGTCCATTCCCTGTCCTCCAGTTCCCACCTCCAATCCCCCAGTTAGCAAATGACTTCGTTAAACATACACACATGAGAGTAAAACCCAGCAAACAGAAAACTAACCCAAGAAAGGAAAGCTACTTGTGCTGTAAAACAATCCATATGGATCTCTTCCCTCTCCAAAATGTGCTTTCTAGTGTGTAATGAAGAGCAGTGGACAGAGGTGCTTTAGGTTCCCACGTGGCTCACCCAAACCTGTCCCTTTCCTTGGTAGTCAATGCTTATCCTCCTCCTTATGTGTTATGGCAGCTTTCTGCCCGCTGTACCCACTTTGTAAGCTTTTTCTACCCTTGTTGTCTGCTGGAAAGACACATGGTCCCTCCTGGCTCAGGTAGAATACTAAGTATTGAAGAAAACGTCATTTAAAAACACCTGCATTCATACAAGTCCTTGGTTACTTACTTAGAAATTCACAAAGGAAGGTGAACTATGAGACTTGTCACTCCTCCAAATGACAACGGAAGAAAGTGTTTGTATAGCACAAATAATCATTTTATAATGGCATTTAGCAAGCTTTTATAACCTCAACCACCACTTACCTGATAGCAAAGCTGGCAGTTCAACAATATTCAACGCCTAAACACAGGAGGCATTCCAAAGGCAGTTAGTTGAGTGCTGAGACAGTTTAAGTTCATGTACAGGCTGTTGGCAAAAGCACAGAGTAAAGAACCCCAG